GAGAAAAAAAAATTACTTGAAGTATTTTTCTTCCCATCTTCATCTCATCCATCCGAACATACCCAAACAAACAAGCCTGTCTATCTCACAGCGACAAATCATATCGGGTGCTTAATCATACTTGCGATTCAAACACAAGAGCTATTGCGCTAGAACAATGAATGTTAGACCAGGCTATGGTCATTGTTCTTGTGTGACACGTTTACATCTATATATGTTGAAAATTAACTAGATTGAGAGTATAATATGATTTTAATGTTTTGAATCTTAGTCCTCAGGGGCTTGCAGTAAAATTTTCTACTCCTCTATCTTTATTCTTCTTCTTCTTTTTTTTCCTTTTTTTTAAAAAAAAAAAACGACTCATGACTGATTCAATATAGAGGAGAATTTAAATTCACTCAGGCTTATATATATAGCACAAATGTTACTTATACAGAAAATTTCTATATCCCGCGTAGAATTCTACTTCGAAGTGATGGAAAGTGGAAACCACAGGTGGAACGGGAGAAAAGTAAGACATAAAAAAAAATAAAAAAAATAAAAAAATAAAAAAATAAAAATTGAATTTTGATGAAAACTATTAAGAAAAATGCCCGTGTATAATTTACTGTATATATAATATTATAATGTAAAACCGACTGAATGGAAATTTAATAACATCTATTATTTTATTTGTATTGTAATTTGACTTTTGCTTTTGACCCCAGATATATTGTAGTAATAATAACATGGGTGTTTGGCGTTCAAGTTACTCGTATTTGATTCATTCTAATTAAAACTCAATTTCAAACCTCTTAATTTCAAATCACGAGCAATGAGAAGGTCAATCCAAATCACAAGGGTGCGTTCTAGCTACGGACTTAACCCGACTTTTTGACGGTCCTAATGTGGTTTTAAAAAATTATTACCGAATTAATATATTAATCATACAACACTAGTCTCGCGGCTTTTTGACCCTTATAACCTTTAGTTAATAATTAATTATCAATTTGACCTTCATTTGAAACTAATTCGAAAATTTAACCCTCTCGAAAAACATAATACCAATCTGCCCCTGTTTGACCGTTGACCACCAAGCCTACCCGGGTACACCCCTCCCTACCCTGGTATTTTTTGAAATTTTTTGCCTACCCGGGTAGGGAGAGGTGTACCCGGGTATAGTTCTTCAATCTGAAAAAATGGTTGAATTAGTTACCCGGATATAAAGGGGTGTACCCGGGTACAGAATTGAAGACGTTCATCCCAACGGTGGCATTGAGAAGTTCCAATCTGCTGCTTACTCCAACGTAACTTCACTTTGATTCCAATTCTAAGTTCGAATTTGAACCCAATGCCCATTATATTTTATTTAATTACTACTATCTCTTTTATTTTTGTGCAGTGTATGACCATCGTGATAAGAATTAAATAAGATCTCAGAGAAATAGCTATACTTATTTTTCGCCATCATTTTCTCCTTATTAAATCTTGTATTGTAATATTCTCATAAATGGTACTATTGGAGAGGTTTGGATCATATACAGTGCCATGGCTGTGATCGAGAACCAAGCACCGTCTCCGATTGGATTCGAAGGGTTTGAGAAGCGCATCGAGATTTCATTCTGCGAGCCACCAATTTTCAAGGACCCTCAAGGAGTAAACCTTCGGTCCCTGACTCGGTCTCGGCTAAATTCTATTCTGGAACCCGCGTGTTGCACCATTGTTTCTCACTTCTCCAATGCCGAATTGGACTCTTACGTGCTCTCTGAATCAAGCCTCTTTGTCTTCAACCATCTTTGCAGATTGAAGAATTATACCCAGGTACACCCCTCCTTACCTGGGTAATTAATTCAATATTTTTCCAGATTGAAGAACTATACCCAGGTACACCCCTCCCTACCCGGGTAGGCAAAAAATTTCAAAAAATACCAGGGTAGAGAGGGGTGTACCCGGGTAAGCTTGGTGGTCAACGGTCAAACAGGGACAGATTGATGTTATGTTTTTCAATAGGGTTAAATTTTTGAATTAGTTTCAAATGAAGGTCAAATTGATAATTAATTATTAATTAAGGGTTATAAGGGTCAAAAAGTCGTAGTCTCGCACATTAGTAATACCAAACTTTCAAATATTGTACGCTATTAATCTCGCACGTGGACCATACACATTAGATTAAGCAAGATGACACGATAATAACCGTACGATGCACTTATCTAGGATAATACCATGTGGTCCAATTCTGATCGTCTATCATACCAACCTTCTTCTCTAATCCCTGTATAACCCTTCGACCTTAGAAATTTTCTAACGCATTCTGAGTAAGTTTGTGCACTTATGTACCACAATGGTCATAAATTTCGATGATTTGAAGGAGAAGAGTCACCGCAAATTGAGATTATAAGAAAATCAATCAATTTTTCAGGGGACAACTATAGTTCTTACTGATACTCACAAATATATAGGTGTAACAATATTAGATGATGAAGATATGAATGTAATACTCGAAGCATATGTTGATCAATCAAAGGCGAAATTGGTTCAACTGTACGTGGACGTTGATTTAACTGAGGATTTATCAAAACTGATTTAGTTGTTGGATCTCAATATGGTCAGCCACAATATGTATTAGTGATTGCACCTCATGAAGAGCTGCTTGATGTTGAGGGTTTGGGACGGGTCCATGGACAATAAGAGATAAGTTGTTTGTTAAATAAGAATCTAAGTCCAAGCAAATTGTGCAAACTACGATAAAATATTTCAAGAAAGCATGTTAGGAAGTCATAGTTGTTGAGATTACAATTGCTAAATTGGTAACGAAATGTGAGAACTAGGAGTAAGGTTACCTATAGAGAGTAAGGGTAACTAAACCAAAGAATGGTAACATGTGGGTCATCCATAAATGGGTTAGAGATTATAGTTATGTGAATTGAAGTCTATCCTAAGACCACAAATAATTTGATAAGAAATTTATTTCTTTAGTCATAGCAAGTATCACTATAAGAAAATTAGTATTTGAAGGTTGTTTAACTGAAGCGATTTCACTTAAACCGCCTCCAATTGATATATAGAGATGGTATTTTCGACAGTTTAATTGATTCGAAACGGTTGACGTGAAACCGCCTCCAAATGTGTACTAGAGGCGGTTAAAATAACCGTCTCATTTACTACTCAGAGGCGATTACATTAAAACCACCTCTAATTTCTACCTTTAGAGGCAGTTAAACCATAACCACCTCCAAATGTATATTAGACGAAGTTAAAATAACCGGCCCCATCGACCATTTAGAGGCAGTTGAGGTATAATCACTTCTACATACAGCAATTAGAGGCGATTTTAATGTAACTGCCTCTGAATGGTAAATGGGGCAATTATTTTAACCACCTCTAATAGACATTTGGAGGTGATTTCATGTCAACCGCCTCAAAATGTACATTAAGTAAATAACCACCTCCAAAGCATATTCAGATTTTTAAGTTGAATCATCTAGTGTTATATATAAATTTCCAAAGATGACTGTCGCACATTGAAAAAAATTATCTCACCTTCACTTTGAGGTCCCACATTGGATGGCTCTTGTTCCTCCTTAAATCGGGCTCAATGGCCTCCACGGAGGAAGAACATAAGGTGTAAGCCAATAAATTTGGTGGCTTTCTACCAAAGGTGATTTCAAAAGGAGTAAATCCTGACGATCTATTGAAGGACGTGTTGAAGTGAAATTCTGCAAAACTTAGGTATCTAGACCATAGCTTCGGCTGTGTATGAGTGAAAGCTCGAAGGTATTGTTAAATGCATCTGTTTACTCTCTCTGTTTTCCCGTCTGACTGTGGATGATATGCTGTTGTATACTGTAGCGAAGTGCCTTGCAATTGGAACAGTGTACGCCAAAAGCTACTCAAAAAGATGGGATCACGATCTGAGATAATCGTCCAGGGAAAACCATGCAGCTTACCTACTGATTCCCAAATTTTTTTGCAATCTACGAAGCTGTATAACTCGAAGGCAGAGCAGTAAAATGGAAACCTTAGAAAACCTGTCAACCGCAACTAATATGGCGGTGAAGCCATTTGATGGAGGTAAATGAGTAATAAAATCCATGGACAGATCAGTCCATAAAGAGTCAGGGGGGCGATAGGTTGAAGTAGGCCAAAAGGGATAAATCATTCCATATTTTTTTGACATACGGAACAGTTTTTGACAAACTGTTTGACATCATTTCGTATTCATTTCCAGGTAAAGGAGCTGGAGATACGATGTAGGGTGGCATGGAACCCTGAATGATCTCCTTAGATCGAAGAATGCATATCATGCAATAGTTTAGGAATGAGGCTGGAGTCAGCGGGTAGATAGATGCGGTTATTGCATACTAGCAGTTTCCCTTGGACACGCCACTTTAGCCAAGAATTAAGGGATGTTGTTAATTACTGGAAAATCTGTGTAGCATAGGCGTCTTTATGTAACTCCTTTTGTAATATGTATGAATAGTTGGAAGTAGGTCTAGATAGAACAGCTAGCTGTGGAACAGGGATGTTTGTGAGGTCTTCTGGTTGTCGGGAAAGTGCACATCAGCAACAATGTTGTTCTAGACATGGCTCTTTTGTGTCGATTATAGAGCTTTCCCTGATTTATATTGAATGGTAAAATTGAACCCCAGCAGCTTGGCAAGGAAAAGCTGTTGTTCTGGAGTTTAGACCACTTGTGACATGAGATGGTGCAAACTCCGATGATCTGTGCGAATAGTGAAGGGTGAACCCAATAGATATTGTCTCTATTTTGCAACTGGAGATGAGATTGCAAACATCTCTCTCACATACGTTGACTTGTTGCGCATAGTGGAAGACAACTTTTTACTAAAAAATGAAATTGGGTGATTACTCTGTAGCAGAACTACACCCACACCAATGCCATATGCATCTGTCTCCCCTACGAAAGGAAGTGAAGAATCTGGCAAGGCCAGAACAAGGGCACATGTCATTAAGTATTTGAGTTTGTGGAAGGCTTCAGTAGCTACCTCTGACCACACAAATCATGTTTTGCTTAACAAATTAGATAAAGGAGAAGCAACCATGGCGTAGTGTTTTATAAATCTTCTGTAGTAGCCTGATAAACCCAAGAATGCCCGAACTTGGGTTTGCGAAGTATGTATAGGCCAATCCACAATCGCTTGAACCTTAGCTGGATCTGGAGCAACCTCATGCCCTGAAATGATATAACCCAAGAAGTGGATAGATGATAGTGCAAAAGAGCATTTTGACAACTTCACATAGAACAGATGGCTTCGTAGTGTGTGTAATACTTGATAGAGATGGTGAATATGATCCTGAAGGTTAGCATTATAGACCAAAATATCATCATAAAATATAACTACGAAACGACGAAGGTATGCAGAAAAAACCTCATTCGTTATAGCTTGAAAAGTGGAAGGGGCATTCAAGAGTTCAAATGGCATCACTACAAATTCGTAGTGTCCTTGATGTGTTCGGAGTGCAGTTTTATGAATGTCTGAAGGCTCCATTCGAATCTGATGATAGCCTAAACGCAAGTCAAGCTTTGAGAAAATGGTTGCACCATGTAGTTCATCTAGTAATTCGTCAACTGTGGGTATGGGAAATTTGTCTTTAATAGTAACTGCATTTAAAGCTCTATAATCGACACAAAAGAGCCACGCCCCATTTTTCTTTCTAACTAATAAAACTGGAGAACTAAAAGAAGATTGACTTGCTCTAATAAGCCCATCTGCCAACATTTCTTTCACCAAGCGTTCAATCTCATTTTTTTGAAAATGAGGATAACGGTAAGGGCACACCTGAACTAGTTTAGATCCAAGTTGGAGCACAATTTTATGGTTTAAAAATCGCTCAGGGGGAAGTGAGGACGGTGGGGTAAAGACGTATGTAAATTCAAGGAGTAACTGTTGTAGTGCTGGCTTATCACTTAGATTGTCATTATCTTGGCCCATAGGAGAAATAGTCTGATGGATGGTAATTGGGCCGCTGGGGGTAAAACACATCAGGCATGCATCAATAGAATCATGTGCCATGAGCTTCTGTAATTGGGTCGTTGATAGCAATGAAGGGTCTAGAGTTATAGCTCCTTGTAATACAATAGGAACATCACCTCTAGTGAATGACATAGTAAGCTTATGATAATCAATAATAACAGGGCCTAAAGTGGCTAACCATTGTACCCCAAGAGCAACGTCAGCACCCTTAAGATCAATGACAAATAAATCCACAAGAAACGATTCAGATTGTAAGACTAGTGGTACTCCCATACATTTTGTTGCACAAAGTAACTTATCACTGTTTCCCACTTGAACTGAGAAGGGAGTGATGGCATGTAAAGTAAGGTGGAGATAAGAAGCCATATGTGGTGTAATGAAGTTGTGAGTACTGCCTCCATCAATTAGAACTTGCAATGAATGATCTGAGACAAACCCCTGCAAACGGAAAGTACGAGAAGTCCTATGTCCAAAGAGAGCATTAAAACTAATTTCTGGTGAAGAGCAATTTGGTTCCACCATTTCACCCGAATTGGGGACAATATCACTTATTTGTTCTTCAATATTATCACCCTCATCACCTTCCATATAGAGAAGAGCAGGCTTTGATTTACATTTATGGCCAAATGAGTACCTCTCATCATAATTGAAACAAAGGTTTTTCTCTCTTCTAGCTAGAATCTCTACTGGAGATAAGCGTTTAATTGGAATGGCTGCAATAGGTGAAGTGTGAAGGGTGGAGGTAGTCCCTGTTGATTGGGCTGTAGCTGTCACCAATTGAGTGGGTTTAGGAGACCATGATTTAAAAGGTCTATCAAGATTCAGTTGATCTTCATACACGCGAGCTAGTGCAAAAGCCTAATGGACATCGGTTGGTCTATGAGGAATAACAACACTCCTAATCCGGGGTTTTAATCAAGATAGGAATAAGCTCTTGGTAAGAACGAGTGATAGACCAGGTACGCGACTGGATAAACGTTCAAAAGAAGTTTGATAGTCTTGCACCGAAGCTGTTTGTTGTAATTTCGCAAGGAGAGAGGCAGGGTCCTCAAATTCGGTAGGACCAAAATGTTAGTTGATAGCCAATACAAAGGCGTTCCACGTAAGAATAAGACCATCTCTAGACATTCCTTGAAACCAGCTTGTGGCTGGGTCATCCAAGTGAACCGAAGCAAGTAACAATTTATCAGGTTCAAGTGTTTGATAAAATGTGAAGTAGCGTTCTACAGCAAACAACCACCGAGTGGGATTGCCGGAGGAAAATCTCGGTAGATCCAGTCGCGGGGATCTGCCATCGGGTCCAGGACCCAGAATCCCATTGTGACGACCATGATTGGGAATCATACCTTGGTTGGGGTTTTGCTGGATAACACGTTCCAGATCCGCTTGCATTTCATCAAATCTCTCATGTTGTTGATTTTCCATGGCCTCAAAACGTCGATCATGAGCCACTTCCCATGTCGTGATCTGTTGTGCATTGGACGCTTCAGCCGTTTGTAAACGTATTTCAGTCGCGTGAAGCTGCTGTCGAAGATCCGTGATTTGTTGTTGTATATCTCTCATCCTAGTATTTTCTGCCATAGGAGGAGATGCATCAATGAAAGCACCAAATTGTAAGATAGAAGAGAATCAGAGAGAGAAAGTAGAGAAGTTAGAGAAAATAGAGAGAGAAGTTTGTCCAACAATTTTCTAATTTTCTTTCTTTTTGATTTTCTATATATATTCTCAACTATGTGACGAGCAATTGGTTCAAAATAAATTAATTGCCAAACAACTCAAATTGTAAAGTGCTTAAATTGTAAATCAGCCAATTATGAAGTCTTGAAAGCGCTTGGGCCTGGGGCAACGTCTTTTGGGCCTGATGAGACTCATATGATGTTCGTGGTCTGAAGGAAGTGATCTTAATGAGTTCACTACATTCTTCTGCCTATTGGCCCTCCTCTTTTCTTTTATTGTTAAGTTCTGTCTGGACGGTTAAAATTAGCGTCCAAAACAAATAATCGATGCTCCCGCTGCTACATGCACATTGTCCTCCCGTGGCAGTACGTGTTGCAGACAAGCAAGCAATGTGTCGTGGACTTTCACAAATAAAATAAATAAATAAATAAAAACCATTAAAAGAGCCTGCTAGTATGTGTAAATTGTAATTGGCTGCTCTGTGTAGCTGTAGTGCTATTGGCAAATGAGTGTTGTGCAGTCTTAGGCTCTATATATCTATTCAATGATGCGAATGTCTCCCGACATAACTGTTCAATGTCTCTTTATGTTTTTTTCTCTGCGCAAGTGCACATCAATGTATCTTATTTAGAGGGTTAATTAGCACCCATGTTTCATTCTTATGCATTAAATTAAAATATTTTTTAAATAAAAAACTATACTTTTAGTTTGTTTTTTTTTAAATAACATATTTTTATTTTTTAAAAATTATTATGTATATGTTTTTATAATTATTAATTTTTTAGGTATAACTTCATATATATTTTTTGTACACTAATAATATTAAAGCTTGAATGTATAACTTCGTATATCCTTAATTAAAAATTTTATTGCTTACCAAAAAAAAATTAAAAATTTTATTCACTGCAAAAGTAATAAAATATTACTGTTATAGTTGGATGACAATCAAATCATAATTGTGATGGATTCATATAACGCTTTTATTATTGAAGGCCTAGAGCAGTATAAAAGAAAAGCCACATAAATAAGAAAATGATTTTTATATCAATGACAATCCAATCACCGCAGCTAGACAATTGAATGTTGGGCCTCTGAATAGCTCATTAAAGACTCAAAATTTCAATATACGAATAAGCTCTATAAATAAGAGATAAAACTTACATATATAACAAATCTCTCTCTTATTAAATAAATCTATTAGTCCTAGATTAGACACTTTGTCTTTTGTCATTCAGACAAAACAATAACTCTAATACAATTTTTTTTTTCTAAAATTATTGAACACATTGGTACAAATTATAAATCACTTTAATAATCTGAAACGTGATTTTGAAGCTGCGAGCGTTTTTCCATACATGACATCAATCGACATGCTCGTATGCAGCACGGCATGTCTTATGCTCATGTCTCATTCAAAGTTGGAAAAATGACAAGCACGCATACCATGTTTTATGCACTTTTGACCTTCGCTTTCTTTTTCGGGCATACAAGGCTGCACTTTTGAACATTTCTATTATGCTTCATTTAGTATATATATATAGCAAAATGATTTCTGCGGCCGTTGCACCTACAGCAAGTCAGGAGACGGAACCGAATCCTAGGATACGGCACCGAATCTTGGTTTTTTTTTTAAAAGCTGTGGGGCCCACTTTTCTGTGTCAACTGTTGATAACACTCTCTACGGCGGCTGCAGAAAAAGTATCCCCTATATATATATATATGGGTTATGTTTATCTCATTTTACATGAGATAAACAACTTTCTTACACACTCAAAAAAGGGTTGAGTCTCACCACTCTTTTTTTTCTCTTCTCTTACTTGTGAATCCCACTTATAATCTTATTTCTACAACATGAGATAACTATTTTTCTACAACTTCCCTATATGTGTGTGTGTGTGTTAAGGCTACATCAAATGTATTAAGTGGGTTCGACACCATATTACAACCCAAAACCTTAAGACATTGAGTCCATGGGTCACTTATATAAATTTCACTTAGTTCACTTATATAGCCCATTATCAACCAATATAGGACTCATTACACATAAATAACCCAACAATCTCCCTTTCAAGTGTGAAACCCAACATTGGTATGCTCCTCCTCACCAAGAGCAAACGTACTCAATCCGCCTCCTAACCAAACACCTGGCTAACCCGAGCCCAACTGACTCTAATACCATTGTCAGGCAGGTCCAGGAGAAGCTCGTGGCTGGGGACTACCACCTATGGGCTAATGCTAAAATCCTATATCAAGTGAGTCTAGCACCATGTCTCAACACAAAATCTTAAGGTATTGGGTTCATGGATCCATCTACTTACATCTACTTCACTTAATCTGTTACTGTCAATAACCTTGGGATACACCACCCTAAAAGCTAGCTCAAAGGGTGGAAGTGCCCAAGACCTTATAAACTCCACATTACGCCCCCTCACAGAAGAGCCCTTTGGACTTGAAGTGTGGATATTGCACAGCTCAATTTTGTGGTTTACCTTTTGTGTTTTGTTTTTTTTAATTCCACTTTAAAGTGGAGGGCCGTAAGGATCGAACTTGTGAACTTGTAGTCACTCAAGCTCTGATACCATGTCAATAACCTTGGGATAGTTACCAATCAGTGTGGGCTCATCACACTTGAATACCCTAGTAATATAATATATATATATATATATATATATACTAAAAATTATATATATATATATTCTAAACATTAGATAACATTAAAAAAATAACACACACACACACACACACACATATATATATATATATATATATATATATATATATATATATATATATGCATTGAGTACAGAACTGCAGTCATAAAGAATTTTGTTGTAAATTTTTAATTTTTTTTGTAAATTATATGTCTTTCATTAAGTTGAAAAAAAATAGTTGAGATTCATGTAAGTCGTTTTATATATCACTTCCGCAAAGGCCGATTAAACTTAAAGATTGAAATACTTGAATGCTTATTCAATTTTCTCAGTCAGCAAACTTCGTCAAAGTCTATTTATTAGTATTACTATATAATTAATATGTTGGAGAATAACTTTTTGTTAATAAAAAAAATGCAAAATAAATTAATTTATTCATACATAGTATTCTCTTGGATCTAAACCTTAAAAAAAAAAAAAAAAATCACCTACCGATAACAAATGAAAAAGATTGTAATATGTATGACTTGGTCATTGTTAGAAAATCATAAACACAGCTAAAGTGCCAAACAACACCGAGTCAGGTGCGAAAGCGTTGGAATTCAAACCAATGTTATTTAACTACATACACAGCTATTGCTTATCTGACACATTAAATTGGATGCAACAAATAAAAACTTTAAATAAAAAAATATATATAGCATTAAACTTGGGTTCTTGTACACTAATGTGATATTTCATGTTGATACATCACCATAGCATAGTTTATAAGAAAATATTTAGTGACTATTTTCTTACGAAAATTGATATATCACATAACTACGACATGGATCAACATTAACATGCTTATCCAAGAATTAAAACATCATATCGATCAAGCACTTTCTAGGCAAAACAGGGTGTTTTGGCTTCTCATATACTTTACTTTGAATCGTCATTCTCGTTTTAGAAGATTTTCAATCTTCAAACTATGCCAGGTCAAGCCCAACGATTCATCAACAACAAGAGGCACCGGTCAATTCATAACTTGCTCCCTATATATATGTATATAGACCCATCACTTTTCACCATCCATATCACAAACTCTTAATTTTCTTCCAATCCGTTATCCAAAAACTCAAAACCGCAAAAGGTGAAAGGACAACTTGAAATTGAAAATAAAGAAGAGCATTTTTTTTGTTCCACTGATCAGCTACTGTCACATATATAGAGATGGGTTTCTCTTACAGGACGATCCTCTTCATAGTTCTAATAATCATCTTCACCATTTTGGTTGCTTCTCCTCAATTTGGAGCAGCAGCAAGATCATTACAGGAAGATCAGTGGTTGAGGGAATATAATGGGCTTTTATTGCAGTCACTCCCACGAGGCCCTCCGAAGCCATCGAGTCCCGATCATATTCATCCCTAAGATATATATATACCTTTGAAATGGACGAGCGTGCATGCATGGCTAATTAAACTTGGCTCGTGTTCACCTCTTTTTATAAGAGGAGGGTATATAGTTCTTAAAGCAAGTAAAGATGACTGATATATTCTTCAAAATGTTTCGTAACTATTTTCTTTTTGGTTGTGCTTACTGAGAAGTGAGAACAGCCATTGCATCCTCGGGCTCCGATCCCATGCAAATATAGTTGGTGTGTATTGCCCATATTATTATTATTTTCATATTCATGCAAGTTTGAGCTTCAATTATATTCTACTGTAATCTAATACAGATTGTAATATTCTTTAATTTAAACTAATGAGACTTTGTGATAATCACTATATATATTACATGGAATTAGATATTATGCCTACATTTTTTTCCCCTATTTTACCTTTTTTTTTTTCAATTTTATTATATTACCATCTCAAACAACATTAACTCTTTCTCTCTTCTCCAGCTGTTGGTTGGGATTATGATCATATGGTGTTGAGAAAAACACTACAAAAAAACAGGCATTTAGCGGCGGTTCATTTTTGGTATACGCGACGGTTACAACCGCCCCTAATTTCTATTTTTTTGTAGTGAAAGTAGATTAAGTAGGCATGAAAAAATGTAGATATATTATCATATACCATATTACATTCTGTATAGAACTAAGCAATTTATGATCAAATGATAGTTTTTCCATCCAATATTGTAGTTGAAACTTAAAAATGCATAATCAGTGGAAGGGCTAAGGTGGATTATTGTTCCTCCTAAACTTGATCGATTGTGAATTAGTTAATAAAGCCTTTGAGAAACGGTGAA